ATTCTTCTGCACTCTCCCAACACTAGCGCAAGTCTGGTACCCTATCATTCGCCTACACTCTCCAAAACACTACCTGCCGGCACCAATAACCCGTCTACGGCTGCGGTCCCGTCTCTAATATTGGAGCGCCATTGCAACGGCAGCGCGACGCCGCGGAGTCTGAACGGAGTCCTATCACCGAAACTGCGCGATAAATCTCTTGAAAACATGATGTGTGTTTCCTGTTTTTTCTGTTCTCTGTCGGGTTTTTGAAACACTCTTTTGTTCCACGCTGTCGTTGAATATTCAAATACCGTGACCTCCCCCTGGCCACAAAATTTGTACGGGACATTTATAAATTTTCGCCATGCAAAGGAAACTTCAAATACCTTTCGATGTGCTATCGACATGGTAGGCATGTAGAAGATATTCAACGGAACGAGTGATGAGGTTAACGACCGTCATGGAATCGCGTGGATTCGATGCCAGCTGGGATAGCAGATCTCGAATCGCGCCGACGCCTTGATATGCCTGAATAATCATTCACTAGAGAGGTCCCAGAAATTTCGAAGACCCACGCGCCTACCTTATTTGATGGATTTGGTTGCGCCTGCATGGTAATGTCCACTTCCTTGATGATGCTGTTAAGCTGCTGGGTGAGTTGTTCGACTTCCTTGGCTGTTTCTGGGAGAGTCATTGCCCTGCTGACTGTCTCCATAACTGTGGCCGACGAATCTTCACTTACTGTTGGCTTGAACCCACAGATTCGTCTGGAACAGTGCAGTTTCCTTTCAGAAACTTCACTCAGAATTAAAAAATTAGCTTACCCGCTGAACTGCTCGTATATGGCCAGATGTTCCTTTCGCGTTGGACCAACTTGAATGGCGATTCGTGCTGGGAGTTCAGCTTGAATCTTTTCCATAGTCGGGTCGTGCCATTCCGTTCCTTCACGGCGAGCGGCAATCCGTCGCGCAGACTCAGCATCCAGTCGTTTTTCCAGCTCGGCAGCGGCCTGAAAGGAACAGTGACAGTCAAGTAAAGCGCAAGTCGTTCACCTCGACCGCTGAATCACTCAGTTGTGACTCAGAGCTGAGTCACTCACACTTCAGCGAAAAAATTCTTCAATTATAGAAACGGCACTTATGAATAAAAAGACGACATAACCATTACCTTTTCACACGCCGTCTTCACTATGAAGTTTGTGGTCAATTCGATGTTATCCTGTGTAATTGCCCGCGCCGCTTCATCGATCATCTTCGACTAAATCATGAGAATAATTCTCAGGGAACATGTGAGCGATCTATCATCTCCAAAATTAAATTTTAGCAGAGGATTTCGCAAGAAAATCCTTTCTTGCAGCATAGTTGCACTGACAAACAAGTGACAATGGACGTGACTGCAACAAGGCACGTCGCACATTGTGCAGTCGCCAAGGCAGAGAGGGGGTCTTATTTGACTGCTGGAAGGAAGGTGGTAGTAGTTAGCCTCGGGAAAAATTCCCGCTCGCTGGTTTTTCTGTTACACGCACGAC